AGGACAGGCTGCGGGAGCTGGAATTGTTCAATCTCGAAAAGAGAAGACCTTGGGGTCACCCAACAGCTGCCTTCCAATACCTGAAGGGAACCTACAGGAAGGCTGGGGAAGGACTTTTCACAAGACCATTCACTGATAGGACAAGGGGAAATGGGTTTAAGTTGAAGGAGAATAGATTCAGATTAGATCTTAGGAAGAAATTCTTCAGTATGAGGGTGGCAAGACTTTGGAACAAATTGCCCAGAGATGTTGTGGCTGCCCCCTCCCTGGAGGGGTTCAAGGCCAAGTTGGACGGAGCCTTGAGTAGCCTGATCTAATTGAGAGGCGTCCCTGCCCATGACAGGGAGGTTGGACTAGATGATCTCTAAGGTCCCTTCCAGCCTAGGCCATTCTATGATTCTATGACTGAAAAACGAGACGTTTTAGGGACAAAAGAGAGACAATTAGTAAATTCATTGACAGCAGCTTAGGCCATACCTATGGAAATCCTCGATGCAGTGGATGTTCCCACCAGCATCCACGGTGAAGGGGATCCCATCCAGGCTGCGGTGGCACATCACACAGGTGAAACAGTGGGGATGGTAGGCTTTCCCAGTGGCTCGGAGGATCCTTTCCATGATGGGCTTTGTACAGACACTGCACTGCTCCAGTGTGTTCTGCAAACAAAATGGACATAGTGGATGTGAGCACCATCTCAGCAAGACATTTACAAAGGTCAACTAGGTTGGAGGCTGCTGCTGGTCTACTTGGAAGCTTTAGGTTCTTTTCATTTTTTCTAGGTAAGTGCAGTACAGTCAACAAAGAGTATGATAACAGCACAGGGCCTGGGTCAAGCCTTTAGTACAGTGTGAGAACACAAAGCAGAGCCTTCTCTGAGCAGCTCTGATAAGTGATGACCCACCAGGTGGGTGTATCTGAGACATTGCAGCTTCTGTAGCCAAGAGCACGTGAAGGAGTTCTGCAGTCTGCACTCCTGGGGTTTTGCCTCTGGACTGCCTAGTCTGAATGACCTTTTGCAGCTGAGTTGACCAGAGACAACCTTCACAGTGTGCAGTGTAAAGATGAAGCACAAACTCCTGGAGCTACAGAGAGGCTCCCGAACTGCTCTGTCAATACAGCTCCCATAAAGGATCTTTATCTGCCTGGTAAGAAAATCTTGATCTTCCTCTCCCACCATGGAGACTACTGTTGAGTTTGGGGAGAAAACAAAGCACCATCTGCAACAAAAACATCACAAGGACAGGAGTCCAGGATGACTTAAACTGTTCATTTATCTCTGGCCCACAATGTTCAAGATAACTGCGAAATACCAGTTCTCAGGCCATGATCCTTGCTGCACAGGTTCTACATACCGGCCTGCTCCTGAAGTGCTGGAGCCAAAAACACCCCCAACCTTTCAAGTGGGGTCCATTGAATGATTCATCTCATTTCAGCTCTCGCTCACCCTTGAGTTAATTATAGAAACAGCAATATAATTTTGTTTCAGATGGCTGTGTGTGAGCCACACCAGGCCTTCTGACACCAGCTGTGCAACTTACCCTTTCAAACCCAGGGCCTTAAAGACAGATGCCACAAATGGAGGGTGCAACCCACATAGATGCAAACATTAAATCTGCAGCAACGATTTGGGTCATTTCACTGGACTTTAGGAAAGCAATTTAACCTACTACTCCTGTTGATACATCTGGAGCTATCAAATGTTATCAACCACGTCTAAATCTTGGATGAAGTAGAAAGTCTACGATTACAATATTGATTATGATAGAGAGAAATGAGAAGGGAGAAAAACAGAAAGATAAAAATCTAACGGGACAGAAATAAAAAAAAATCATGTTGACAAACACAGGAAGGCTAAAGTTCTTCTGCATCCTCATGTAACAAAATTCCCAGGGAAAGCAGTGCTTTAACTGACCACATTGTTATTGCTTCTTTGAGCCAATATTCTCAGGGGCAAGATCCAGCCCTTACATGTGCAGCCAAAATATATTGTGAGGAGATGAATCACCCAGGACCTCAGAGAGATTGCTTCTACACTTTCATATTTGCTATCTCTGGGCTGCAAATACGTAGAAACACACAGGTTCACATCAGAAGATCAAAAGGACCTTTTTTTTCATCCAACCCCTAGCCCATGGCAGGGGTTGTCAGCTAAACCTTGCATTTCTCTAAAATATTTTTTCCAACTAGAAATCTGAAACTTTCTCTTTTAGCCATGTGTGAGGAATAAGACTGATTTCTGCTTTGTTCATGTTAGCTGGTATTCCTCAAAAACCGAACCAAACATATTCTTTGGAAGCTTCACTACCTGGATGGGTTGAACTGTTACTGAATAGAGTTTGGATTTTTTGTTGCTAGCTATTAATTCATAGAATCGTGGAATAGTTTTTGGTAAGGTCTGTGTGAAAAGTCCTGAATTTCAACCCGTAAGAGAACTGCCTCACAGACTTGTAAACAGAGCACAGCCAGGCTAGCATTGGTTTCAGACTGGATTTTGCTTTATGCCTTGTAATAATGGGGAGGAAAGAATTATTGCTGGCCTTTCTGTTTGGTTGCTGTCGCCATCATCATCATTATAACAGTAGTTGGTATGCCAGAAAAAGCAAGGTCAATAATTTTCTCCTTAGAGAAATAACCTGGCAAATGTAATGCTTTGCTTCGCGTAAGCAGATCACAGCTCCTCAGTCAGCATCCATGCTGTTCTCTGTACTGCCAAGGGAGGAATGCAGCTTTACCTGCAGATCCTGACAGAAGACTGTGCCACTCGTAAGGCGTTTTGTACAACACCTTCTGAGTATGCACAGGTGTGCAGCATTTGCTGCATCAAGTCACTATTTGCTTCATTTCCAACCGCAGCCAACAACACAGGCCAAAGTACGAGAGCAGGGCAAACAAAACAGAGCAATTCTTTCGGATGTGCTTCCAGCCTCTGGTGATTTCTGGCTTAGGGGCTTCCTGAGGCAGAGCTTGGCTGCTCCATACTTAGCCTCAAGTGGATTTTCTCCCATGAACTTTCCTGATCATTTTCTGAATTCTGATAAACACTGAGCATCCACAACATGGCCGGGAGTTTTATGGTTTGCCAACACAATGGGAGCTGATCTGCTACGCAGCTCCCCTGGTCTGCTGCTGCAGCCAGCAACTCCAGACAGCAGCACTGAGCACAGCCTACCCGGTACCATGAGCAGAGCAGAAACCTACAGCTGTAATACACCCTGCAAAGGGATTTAACACCAAACAGCACAGCCTGGAAATGCTCTCACTATGGATCCGATACAACTCCCACTCTCATATTTCAGACACAGGGAGTTTAAGACCTCAAGGGATCATTGCAAACACCTTGTCTACCACCTCGTGTTAATGTTGACTTTGGTGGGAGTTTTGCAGTGACCAGGACAGCAAGTAATCATGCTGTTAGATTATGCCTTCAGAAAACACATGTCTTCTGTTCCCAAATCTCAGCTCAGTCACGCTGTTTGACATTCTCACAGCTAAGTAAGAGAAGTGTTTTAAATTAACCAACTTCTGATTAAGTCTTCTATACAACCTGAAAATCAGATCTGAGAAATTTATTCTTTTCATCCTTCCAAGTCTGTAGCAGTAAGGAAAAACAAAGTCATTAGTTTCAGACTGCAGCTCACTCCCTGTCTGGGATTATATTTGCTTAAGCCTCCTTCCTTGCTAGAACCCTGGCTCAGACTCTTCTCTTCAAGGTGTTACCAGAAAATGCCAAAGGGAAAGCTTCCTTGATTCACACCCATTGTACACCAGGTTGCTGTAAGGCAGGATTTGGCCTGTGGAGCTAACAGGGTTTCCTTTGATTCCCTAATCAGGTTATCCCACATGCCTAAGTGCTGCCCCAGCAGCTACCAACCTGCACAAAGGTATTTCTGCACATTATGGGAATAGCATCCCTGTAGGATTAGAAGTTTGGCTTCCTGATTTTGATCCCTTTCACAGTTTCTAACTCTCTAGCACCTCCTGGAGCTTTCAGACCTTCAGAAAGCCAAGCAAGATGAAGAAAAAAAACCTCCTAACAGTCCAGGTTTTCTTCTTTTCTCCCAAGCTGCCATTGCCAGCATTTTCTGTAATCAACAGGTAGAGCAGAGTGCATCAGATGAGCTACACAGAGAGCCAAAGCAAGGCATAGAGAAGAAAGATAAGAACTGTGTGGGAAACATCAGACCTAGGGCCTATGGTCAAATTCATGTCATAAGAATATAGATCACTAATCCAGAATAGTCCAAAGAGGAAGTTTGCCATCCTTCTCCTGTATTTTTCACTAAGAGGCAGGGAGTGGCCTTCTTCTTTACAGACACTTGTGTCTCCAAAACCAACTACTTTTTTGGGAATTTGAAAAGGATGGAGAAGGAGTCATCCATTTCTAAATGGAAGGTTGGCTCGCTGTTAAAGGTTGAGTCTGTGTCCAAGTCTCTTGAAGGTAGAGATACTTATCCATGGCAAAGAAAAATAATCTCACTCGGGGAGAATAATGCACCCTAATATAACCAGTAAGAAAAATAACCTCAAGCAAAGATACACTAAAACCCAGGCAAAGAGTGGAAATGACCAGCACATCAAGCTTCAGCTTGTAAGTAAAAACTAAGAGAATTAAATGTGGACAGCACAATCAGCAGCAAAGTGGGAAAAAGTTGCTCAGGAACAAGTATCTGACAGCAAGCCGTGGGGGGGGAATTTGAAGGCCTCCCTATAGCAATACCTGGCCCTTCCGAAACCACAGAAAGCCAAAAGGAGCTGCTCTGCAGATGTTAGGTTTAAACAAGGAACACAAAGTGAAAATCCAAACTGCCGAAACTTTTTTTGGAGTGAATGTGCAGAGGAGACGGTATCAACCACAGGACTCAAAAGTGACTGTTGTGCTAAAAACAGGCACACGGTCAACTCCTACAGTCGAACTGTAACTGAGTAAAGTGCGGTAAGTGAATTGCTTTAAATCTTGTGACTCCATCCTTGATTTCCTCAGACTACAAGGAGAGCAGAGCAGCAGACATTTTCCCCACTGTGGGATAATTTTTGAGGCTTGAAAATGTTTCCATACGTAAGTGAAGACAGAACACTTTAATCTCAAGAAGTCTGGTGAATTTATAAACCCCAAATTAGATCAGGTCAATTGAAACACTGCACTTCAAATAATTTCAAATGGTTTCATTTAGGTTTTGAGTCTGCAAATACATAGTTGGATTATAAATTAAATACAAAGCAGACATTGGTGGAGGGGTTAAATGTCAAGATGTAATTTCAACACTTTTAAAACCTTTTTATTTTGGCATTATTTCTAGAAAAGGAAAATCCAAGACGTGGTTTCTCCCATCAAAATCCCCAGCCATTCCCAATGCTATCTCCGCAGATGGCTAAATCTTGGCAAACACTACATTTAATTTGCTAATGGCCAGCATGAAATTCCTTCCTCCCTTTCTAAGGAGAGAATTTGAGCATGTGTTAGTTCATCTTTCTCACTTAGCTCAACCAGCAGGAGACATTACTAACAACGGGTGACTCTCCCCTTCCTGCTGCTCTCAGGGGGGTAGGTCCAGCAAGGGAGAACCCTGTGGAAGCACCTTGGCCGGTTCTCTTACGTTCGGGCCACAATGCCACAGCTGCACCAGTGTGTTGGGGCAAGAGATGTGACGCCCTGACA